ATCATCAGCATCATCGTCATCATCATCATCATCATCAACATCATCATCATCAGCATCATCATCATCATCAACATCAGCATCATCATCAGCATCGTCATCATCATCAGCATCAGCATCATCATCATCAGCATCAGCATCATCAGCATCATCATCAGCAGCATCAGCATCACACTCATCATCGTCATCATCAACAACATCATCATGATCTTCATCATCAGCATCGGCATCATCATCGGCATCATCATCAGCAGCAACATCATCATCATCATCATCTTACTCGTCCTCCTCCACATCATCATCATCATCATCATCATCATCATCATCATCATCATCATCATCATCATCATCGTGATCGTCATCATCATCATCATCAGCAGCAGCAGCAACATCACCATCAGCATCATAATCATCAACATCATCATCATCATCATCATCATCATCATCATCATCATTAGCATCATCATCATCATTAGCATCATCATCATCATCATTATCATCCTCATCCTCGTCATCGTCTTCGTCTTCGTCATCGTCGTCGTCATTTCCTTAATCGTAATCACCATGATTATCATCATGCCCAATCCTTCTCTTTCTCCATTTTGTCATTCTCCTCCCCCACCCCTCCCCTCAACCCCAGGCTGCTCCTCCTCATCATCATCTTCCCCCTCCTCCCCCTTCTCCTCCTCCTCCTTCTCCTCCTCATCCTCCTCCTCCTCGTCCTCCTCCTCCTCCTCCTCCCCCTCCTCCTCATCCTCCTCCTCTTCCTCCTCCTCCTCTTCCTCCTCTCATATCCCCTCATAATATCTCTCCTCCCCTTCGGAGTCCGATTCTGAACCTCGTCCTCCTGCTCCTCCTCCTCCTCCTACTTCTCCTCCTCCTCCTCCTCGTCCTCCTCCTCCTCCTCCTTCTCATCATTCCCCCTCCCGTCCTCATCCCTCGTCTCTGCCCGTAAATATGATGTCCCCTTTCTCTTCCAGCTTCCGCGCATCCTTCTTCATCCCGCATGTTCTTGGCACATAGTCATTACATCTCATCTCTCCAACTGATTATCATCCGCCCCCACCTCTGCCTGCTCCTCTTCTTCCCCCTCCTCCTCCTCCTCCTCCTCCTCCTCCTCCTCCTCCTCCTCCTCCATCCTCTTCTCCTCCTCCTCTCCTCCTCCTCCTCCTCCTCCTCCTCCTCCTCCTCCTCCTCCATCCCCTGCTCTTCATCACTCCTTTCTTTCGGCGCCTCCTCCTCGTCCCCTTCTCCACTCTCATCCTCCTCGTCGTTCTCATCCTGTCGCACTGCGCCTCCATCTCTCTTGTCCCTCCGTATTCCCAACTTGATTCATCCCCCTCCCCTCCATCCTCCTCCTCCTCCTCCTCCTCCTCCTCCTTTCTGGGGGGTCCGGGGTTCCGGGACCTCCGGGGTTCCCGGGCCCCGCGGTCCGGTTCCCGGTTCCCGGGTCCCGGGTCCCGGTTCCCGGTTCCCGGTTCCCGGTTCCCGGTTCCCTGTTCCCGGTTCCCCGGTCCCGGTTCCATAGTGCACAAGACCACAGAAATGTCGTTGAGCATGTCGTGGTAAAAACTCTTGCCGTTGGAGCCCTCCAGGTGGATGCTAGTGGCGTAGGTAGCTCGGCGAAGCCAACACGCGCCCCCGTGCGCGCCCTTGTCCGAGCGCCTCGATGCCGCTGCAGCAGTCCAGGCCCCTTCAGATCCTCGTCCAAAATTGCGCAGCCGCTTCTCCTCCCTCTGGCACATCACTTGCGCCAGGTGGTGCTCAGCCAAGCCCATGAGATCGAAGTGCGACTGCTCGATAAACCTCTTGATCTTGGGGCCATAGCTGGTCACACTCCCGAAGAAGATGAAAACGTGGCTGCGCTGGCCCACGACAAAACTCTGGCTCGCACGTGTTTTGGGTTACCCTCCTGCCGGCTTCGCCTTTGTCATCGCTGGCCCCGACGTTGCCTTCGAAGGTGCTCCCGCCGATGGTGTGGACGTAGCTGGTGCTGTCGACTTGGCTCTGGTCGCCTCCGCCGCCGCTGCCCTGGCCTTGATGGCCGCCGCGCGCTGGATGTAGGCGTCCACGTTCTTCGGGTCACTGAAGTCAGGAGGTCCCGCTGCTGGCCCCTCTTCTACTCCTCCAGCTCCAGTTGCTCGTTCAGGTGGTACTGCTGGGGCTCCTGCTGCCACGCCTGCGGCGCTGTCGGCTTTGCGCCGCTTCGCCGTGGTGGCCTTCTCGCGGAGCTCCCTGAGCGTGCTTGCCGCCTCCTGCGCCTTCTGGCCGATGTCCGCCGCCGACTTGTAGACCTGCTGGGCCTGCTGCGCGTGCACCAGCGCCTCCTCGTACGTCTTCTTCTGCTCGGGGGTGAGGAGCTCGACGTCCTCGGCAATGAGCTCTGGGAAGTGGAAGCCTTCGTTGTCAGGCTTGTCGCCGTCGGTCCGTTGGGAAGATCCACTGGCCGTTCTCTGCGCAGCCGTGATGGGACTCGTGATGCGGTTGACCTCAGCCTGGGCCC